GGATTGGGGACTACCAACCTTCCTACGTCAAAGACCGCTGCTGCAGTAGGTAAAATAACCAGCTCTATTTCTCTCTTTCTCAAAAAGATGTCACCTTGAGGCACTACTGTAACAAAAACAAAAGCTTGGCATCGACCAGAGATGGTGGTTCACCTGTAATCCCAGCACTTTGGGATGCTCAGGCAGGTCATTTGTGAGGCCAGGAGTTTAAGACCAGCCTGTGGCCAACATGGTTTTAGCTTAACTCTACTAAAAATACAAATTAGTCAGGCGTGTGGCAGGTGCCTGCTGACCAGCTACTCAGGGAGGCTGGGCAGAAGATTGCTTGAATCCAGGTGGAGGTTGCAGTGAACCAAGATACGCACCACTGCACTCCAGCCTGGGTGACAGAGCAAGACTCCATCTCAAAAAAAAAAAAAAAAAAAAAAACAAACAAAAAAAAACCCAAACAAACAAAAAACTCATATACCTTTCGGGTATTAACAAATTATTAATATTTTGTGACATTTGCTTCTACATCATATTTATATGTATATATATGTATATTATGTGTATATAATATGTGCATGTGTATATATATAATATATATATACATATATATTTTGTTGGGAGGACAGAATTTCACTCACACTTGGCTGGAGTGCAGTGGCACAGTCTTAGCTCACTGCAACCTCTGCCTCCCAGGTTCAAGCAATTCTCCTTCCTCAGCCTCCCAAGTAGCTGGGATTACAGGCACCACCTGGCCCCATTTTTAGTAAGATGAGGTTTCACCAAATTAGCCAGGCGGTCTTTCCAGCTCCTGGCGTCAGGGCGTCTGACCCCCGGCCTCCCAAAGAACTAAGATTATAGGTGTGAGCCACGGCTGTCCTGTGTTATGTATATTTTTCTAAGATGTCTTTGTCGTCCCAGCCCCTCTCAACCCAAATCCACCAGTCACCCAAGGATCACACACTGCATTGGGCGAAATGCCTCTTTGGTCCCCCTTTAATATGCAGCAGGCCTTTTGACATTTGTTTTTGCTTTTAGCAGCATAGGCATTTGAGATTCAGGCCAGTTGCCTTGTAGAATGCACCACAATTTAAATTTGTCTAGTTGCTTTCTTATGGTTCGATTTGGGTTATATGTTTTTGGCAAATCTCTTGTGCTGAGCTGTGTACCTCCCTCTGCAGCACCTCAGGAGCCTGTCATGTTAGTTTGTCTCTTTGTATCTTTTTGGTGTGAAGCTTGGCTTCCTCACACTGAGTTAAGGGTGTTCTCTTTCTTTCTTTCTTTCTTTCTTTCTTTCTTTCTTTCTTTCTTTCTCTTTCTTTCTTTCTTTCTTTCCCTTTCTTTCTTTCTTTCTCTCTTTCTCTCTCTCTCTCTTTCTTTCTTTCTCTTTCTTTCTTTCCCTTTCTTTCCTCCCTCCCTCCCTTCCTTCCTTCCTTCCTTCCTTCCTTCCTTCCTTCCTTCCTTCCTTCTTCCTTCCTTCCTTCCTTTCTTTCTTTCTTTCTTTCTTTCTTTCTTTCTTTCTTTCTTTTTTTCTTTCTTTCTTTCTTTCTTTCCTTCTTTCTTTCTTTCTTTCTTTCCCTCCCTTCCTTCCCCTTCCTTCCTTCCTTCCTTCCTTCCTTCCTTGCCTTCCTTCCTTCCTTCCTTCCTTCTTTCTCTCTCTCTCTCTCTCTCTTTTTGAGACAGGGTCTCACTCTGTCACCCAGGTTGGAGTGCAGTGGACAACCATGGCTCATGGCTCACTGCAGCCTCTACTTCCCAGGCTCAGGCAATCCTCCTACCTCAGCCTCCTGAGTAGCTGGGTCTATAGGCATGCACCACCATGCGCGAGTAATTTTTGTATTTTTTATAAGGAACTGGGTTACTGGTACTATGTTGCCAAGGCTGGTCTCAAACTCCTGGACTCAAGTGATCTGCCTGCCTTGGCCTCCCAAAGTGTTGGAATTACAGGTGTGAGTCACCACACCCGGCCAGTGTTAATTTCTTTTTCTTTCTTTTTTTTTCTTTTTTTGACAGGATCTTGCTCTGTCACCCAGGCTGGAGTGTAGTGGTGTGATCTTGGCTCACTACGATCCCCACCTCCCGGCCTCAAGCAAGCCATCCTGCTATCTCAACCTCCTGAGGAGCTGGGACAACAGGCATGTACTACCACGCCCAGCTAACTTTTTGTATTTTTTGGTAGAGAGGGTTTCATTTTACATTACCAGGCTGGTCTGGAACTCCTAGACTCAAGCCATTTTTGGCCACCTTGGCCTCCAAAGTGTTGGATTACAGGCATGAGCCACTGCACCACAGCCATTAATTTCTAATAAATCCATAAAGTACACCTAGTATTTCTTCTTTTGTAGGGTGTGGAGTCCAAATCATACCTTTGATGATTATGTACAGAAGTATTTAGCTTTCTTTTAGAAAAGAGGTGTGAATTATGTGTACTTGTGAAATTCAAACACATTAACTCCACCAAGATGGCAGCTAGTAAGGTTTAGACCTCAGTTCAAAATGTAGTTCTAGGTCAGGTATGGTAGCTTGCATCGCAATCCCAGCACTTTGAGAAGTGAGACAGGTGGGTTGCTTCCAGGCCCAGGAGTTCGAGGCCAGCCTGGGCAACACAGCAAGACTCAGTCTCTACTGAAAGAAAAACAACAACAACAACAACAACAACAAACTAGCTGGATGTGGTGGTACATGCCTGTAGTCCCAGGTATTTAGGAGGCTGAGGCAGGAGGATTGCTTGAGCCCAGTAGTTAGAGGTTATGGTGAGCTATGATCAAGCCACTCCCCTCCAGTCTGGCAACAGAATGAAACACTGTCTCAAAAAGTAGTTTCTGAATTGACTGCAGAAATGCAGACAGGGCATTAATAATTTGGTGGATGATAGTTGTTGACATTTCATCCATTATCCTGCAAACATGCATTCAGTTTTAATGTTCATTAACAGACCTGGCCTCAGGACCATGTCCCCAAGAGCCACCTCCACCCAAGATTATCTGCAGGCGAGGCAGCCATTTGCAGTGCTCCTTCCTGAGGTTAATTAAACATATTTGTCTGAGAGTTGTAATAAGTACCGATCATCTTCCCCTGAATTCCCATTACCGTCAGTGACTGCTGAGCCTTTCTGAGGGCAGGACCATTGGACTTCTTATGGAAATGGAGGCTATGACTATCTCACAAGGTTCAAATTGTCTTGAAAGCATGTAATTTTACCTAATGACATGTGTGAACATTTCAATCCAGTGTGTCCTTAACCGGGACCCAGTAGCAAATTGATGAAGTTGCTGGATGGAGTTTGTTAAAAATAAATAAGAAGAATAATAAGAACCAACTACAAAATGTGAAAGAATATTACATAAGCAAAAAAATTAAATGAGCCCTCAAAAGTGATTAGGATGGGTCAATTGCACCACTACCAACGGTAGCTTTGATAACGGTGTTTTGGAAAAAAATTCACCTCTGCCTTCTGCACTGAAAAGTAAATCCAGCATTACTGGAATCAGACCCTGGCTCACTTTTCCAAAGAAGCTAGCTAATATTTTTACCACCCCTTTTCATCTTAAATTGGTGTTCTGACAGTTTCCTTATGTGTTTTGGAAGTTGTACATATTTGGGAATGATCTTTCTTACCAGCTCCTAACACGTCCTTTACAGTTAATGGGCCCTGAGCATCACCTTACAGAATAACACTAAGGGTGCTAAAGTTTTACAAGTTGACAGCTGAGGGTCAGAGAGACTGCAACTGAAATATACCACACTTTATTTTAGTATTAATAAAAACATCAGTGGATTCTTTCAGAGTTATTATTAGCTTTACTTCAATATCTCATGTACCCCTATGTGGCCACAGGAATCTCTTGGTCTCTGTATGGGAGATCATGTCAACTGAGAGAATGGTTATTTAGCTTATCACCATCCCCCAGGAGAACACATAAGATCTTGGAGAGGTGTGTGATACAAGTAGATGTATAATGCTTCATGCAGCCATAGCGAGTGTCTGGGTAAGGAAGGTCAGGGAGAGCTTGTGGAGCTGTGGAAATATTGAATAAATGAAAATGTGAATTCTCTCCTTGTGTGTAGTATGAAATGCTTCATGTCACACCACCAATGGAGCCACCAGATCTCCTCAAGACCAGTCCTGTGGCTGATGCTGCTGGTTGGGTGGATGTGGATAAAGAAACTCTGCTAAGAGGGGTACCCAAATGTGTTTGGGATTGGGGACTGCACCAACCTTCTCGTCAAGACCGCTGCTGCAGTAGGTAAAATAACCAGCTCTATTTCTCTCTTTCTCAAAAAGATGTCACCTTGAGGCACTACTGTAACAAAAACAAAAGCAGCATCTGACCAGAGATGGTGGTTCCTGCACATAATCCCAGCACTTTGGATGCTCAGGCGGAGCAGGTCGTTGAGGCCAGGAGTTTAAGACCAGCCTGGCCAACGTGGTGAAACCCCATCTCTACTAAAAATACAAAATTAGCCAGGCGTGTGGCAGGTGCCTGCAATCCCAGCTACTCAGGAGGCTGAGGCAGAGATTGCTTGAATCGGGAGGTGGAGGTTGCAGTAGACCAAGATCGCACCACTGCACTCCAGCCTGGGTGACAGAGCAAGACTCCATCTCAAAAAAAAAAAAAAAAAAACAAACAAACAAACAAACAAAAAAACTCATATACCTTTCGGGTATTAACCAATTATTAATATTTTGTGACATTTATTCATCATATTTATGTATATATGTATATTATGTATATATAATATGTGTGTGTATATATATAAATATATATATATATATATTTTGTTGAGACAGAATTTCACTCTTGTTGCCCAGGCTGGAGTGCAGTGGCACAGTCTTAGCTCACTGCAACCTCTGCCTCCCAGGTTCAAGCAATTCTCTCCTTTATAGCCTCCCCAGTAGCTGGGATTACAGGCACCCACCACCACCTGGCTGGATTTTTGTATTTTTAGTAGAGATGGGGTTTCACCAAGTTGGCCAGGCTGGTCTCGAACTCCTGGCGTCAGGTGATCTGACCCCCCCGGCCTCCCAAAGAACTAAGATTATAGGTGTGAATTACGGCGCAGCCTGTATTTATGTATATTTTCCTAAAGATGTCCTTTGTCGTCCCAGCCCCTCCTTAAATCCACCAGCCAGTCAAGGATCACACACTGCATTGTTGAGAAATGCCTCTTTGGTCCCCTTTAATATACAGCAGGCCTTTTGACATTTGTTTCTTTACTTTCATGACATCGACATTTTTGAAGATTCCAGGCCAGTTACCTTGTAGAATACCCCACAATTTAGAATTGTCTAGTTGCTTTCTTATGGTTCGATTTGGGTTATATGTTTTGCTTAAAAATCTCTCTGTGCCTGAGGCTGTGTACCTCCTCTGCAGCACCTCAGGAGCCTGTCATGTTAGTTTGTCTTGTCTTTGGTGAAGCTTGACTTCCTCACTGGAGTTAAAAGTGTTCTCTCTCTCTCTCTCTCTTTCATTGTAAAAGTACTCTCTCTCTCTTTGTAATTTATAGAAGTCTGTGGGGTGATACTTTGAAATGACATTCATTTAATGTGAGTCTGCTGAATTTATGTGAGTACAGAAACTACCTGTGATATAGAGGCCCAGATTACCTAGCTTTTAGCCTTCTTCAAACAAATATTTAACTCAATGTTCCAGATAGAGAAGACTGAATATGACTGAACAAAAATATTCTAAGTGGAAAGTCTTTTGCTCCCAGTCCTGCAGTGCATCTGTGGCAAGCTGCAGTCCCCCAACCACGGAGGCATGCTCCCAGTTGTTTTTACATTTTGTGTCTTACAATCTGCAACCTATTCTATGGTTGCTCTAGAGCTCTATATAATGGGTCCACTCTTAATTATATCTGGATTATTTCAACCCATTTTTATTCAAACAGTACCATAATGAGTGCTCTTTACCTGTTATTTAGGTTGGTGCAAAAGTAATTGCAGTTTTTGCCATTAAGCGTAATGCCATTAACCGCAGTGCCACTGCACCAACCTAATATTTCCCACCCTATGTGAAAGTCTATTTACTCTTCTCTTCAATGCCCAAATTACAATAGTACTAGCTTTTCCCAAGCAGATCTTCATTTCTTCTTAGATTCCCTTTCCTAAATCCTCTACAAGTATCCCAAGGCAATGCCACACTTTTTCCACAAATCTGTCCTTGGGTATACTTGCCACCAAGCCTCTGTCAGACCTATGCTGTGTAGGCAAGACCCATCTTGCCATGTTGAATCTAGCTTTCCTGAGCTCATGTCCCCTTGTCTGCTTCTCTCTGCCCCAGGATGCTCCTTTAGTCACTCTCAGCACAGCTGAGATCAGGATGTGGCAATTTTTTTTTTTTTTTTTTGAGACGGAGTCTTGCTCTGTCGCCCGGGCTGGAGTGCAGTGGCGGGATCTCAGCTCACTGCAAGCTCCGCCTCCCGGGTTCACGCCATTCTCCTGCCTCAGCCTCCCGAGTAGCGGGGACTACAGGCGCCCGCCACCTCGCCCGGCTAGTTTTTGTGTTTTTAGTAGAGACGGGGTTTCACTGTGTTAGCCAGGATGGTCGATCTCACAGCCTCGTGATCCGCCCGTCTCGGCCTCCCAAAGTGCTGGGATTACAGGCTTGAGCCACCGCGCCTGGCCAGGATGTGGCATTTAACGAAAGTTAACTGAAGGCCCGGGCATGATAGAAGGGGATTGTAATACAGAGCAAAACCCAACTCCCTTTTGCTCCATGCAGCTTTAAGCCTAGATGTTGAAGTGACTGCTGCCTGGCCACAGGCCCCTCACCTGTCTGCAGTGGCACCCAGTGGATGCCTCTGCTCCTTTTCTGTTGGCCTTGATGTCCTGCTGCTGTGGCCTCCTCAGGTGTTCTCAGTTCAGATTCCAAACTCTTTATGGCCCTCAAAGAGGAACACAGTTTTCCAAAAATATGATCTTTAGAGATGTTGCTTTTGCCCACAGTGAATATAGCCATTTAATTTTTTTCTTTTTTTAGAGACAGAGGTCTCAAGCTCTTTTTGCCAGAGGTGGAGTGTGAGTGGAGCAATGTGGCTCACTGCAGCCTTGACCTCTTGCGCTGGTGATCCTTCCACTTACTTTTAAGTAGCTGGAACTGTGGCATGTCACCACACCCAGCTAATTTTTAAAATATCTGTAGAGATAGGGTCTCCCTATATTGCCCAGGCTGGTCTCAAACTCCTGGGCTCAAGCAATCCTTCTGCCTTGGCCTCCCAAAATGTTGGGATTACAGGCATTAGCTACCATAGCTTGGCCTCATTTTTATATATATATATATATATATATTATATATATATATTTATTTATTTATTTAGATGGAGTCTTGTACATTGCCCAGGCCGGAGTGCAGTGGCATGATCTTGGCTCACAGCAACCTCTGCCTCCTGGGTTCAAGCAATTCTCTTGCCTTAGCCTCCTGAGCAGCTGGGATTACAGGCACCTGCCACCACACCTGGCTAATTTTTCTATTTTTTGTAGAGATGTGGTTTTACCACATTGGTCAGGCTGTTCTTGAACTCCTGAACTCAAGTGATCCACCCACCTCAGCCTCCCAAAGTGCTGGGATTACAGGTGTGAGCCACCACCTTGTGTAATATTTTTAAGCAGAGTTGTTTATATTTTTTTTTACCCATTCAGAAAAAATGTCCCATTTGCTTCTTTGATTTGGGCATCAGCAAACTATAGTTTATGGGCCAATGCAGTCCACTGCCTGTTTTTGTATGGTGGAAATTTTGTTTTTTGTCATTACATAATATCTTTGATTTGCCATTGGTCCACAAGGCCTGCAATTTTTCTTTACAGAAAAAGTTTGCTAACCCCTGTTTTGGGAGATTACAAAATAACCACTTTAATAAGCATTTTATAATACAGAGGTAACCCATCTTTCCTCAAAGTGAATCCATGTTCTACTTCTAGAGACACAAACTGCTGTATCTTTATTTTATTTTTGAGACACAGTCTCACTTCGTCATGCAGGCTGGAGTGCAGTGGTGTGATCTGTTCATTGCAACCTCTGCCTCCGGGTTCAAGCAATTATTGTGCCTCAGCCTCCTGAGTAGCTGGAATTGCAGAACGCTTCCTGCATGCCTGGCTAATTTTTGTATTTTTAGTAGAGACAGAGTTTCACCATGTTGGCCAGGCTGGTCTCAAGTCCTGGCCTCAGAAGTGATCTGCCCACCTTGGTCCCAGGCTGCTGAGATTACAGCGTGAGCCACCATGCTCGGCCACAAACTGCCTGTCTCCTTAAAGGTCAGTCTTTTAATTTTTTTCTGAGATGATGTCTCACTTTGTGCCAAGGGTGGAGTGCAGTGAGTACGATCTCAGATCCCTGCAACCTCCATCTCCTGGGTTCACGCAATTCTCCTGCCTCAGCCTCCTGAGTAGCTGGGATTACAGGCATGTACCATCATGCTGATAGTCCTTTTTGTATTTTTAGTAGAGATGGGGGTTTCATCATATTGGCCAGGTTGGTCTTGAACTCCTGACCTCAAATGATCCACTTTCCTCGGCCTCCCAAAATGTTGGGATTACAGGCATGAGCCACAGTGCCCATCTGGGCAGTCTTAATTATTCAAAATTGAACACAAACTGGGTTTAGATTATATGAAGAAACTATTACCACTAATATTTAGGGTGTGAAAATACTGTGGGTTTGCGTGAAGAAAATTCCCCATCAGAGATACAGACAGGAAGATTTATGAGTGAATTGATGTGATATCTGCTCTAAAAATACAGCAGGAAAAAAATGGCATGTGTGATGAGATGGATTCAACAAAGATGATGGAATTTGAACATTTTCCTCATAAAGGCAGTCTCCCCACTCTTGCAAAAGAAGAACAAAAAAAAATCCTGATGTATGTATGTATCTGTCTGTGTCCGTCTGTCTGTCTAGGAAAGAGACAGAGAGAAGGAAATACAGGTATATCTCTATATGTATATCTATATCCACCTGGTCCTGTCTCAGCCAGGACAGAATTGGAAGACGAGAGAGCATGCTTTGTCTTATTACCAGAAATATCTGGGGCCTACCAATCCAGACTGCCTGTGAGCGGGGACACAGGATAACCCGCTTGGCCAAGAACACTGATTAAGTTGACACACAGACTAAATTGACAGTCTCAACTTGGGAGGAGAGAAGTGGTTTTGGGGTAGGTCTATCACTTATAGCCACACTGGAGAGGAATCAGCTCTTCAGTTTCAAACCCATGGAAACACATGTACGGGCCTTTCCACGAATTAAAGAATCCCTCTGGTAGTCAATTTCAATTAGTAAGAAGCTCATGTTCTAGTCACCATTTTGAGGGATGGGAAATGGAATCTTCTTAACTTGTTTACATTAAAGTTATTTGCAAATTAGTTTTCATGGAAAACCTAGATGCTTACATTTTTCTGACTTTCCCATTTCTCTTACAGCTGCCCAGTCAGGAATACTTGATAGAACAATTTCTCTGATTATGAAGAATCAAACACCAACAAAGAAGGTTTATCGCCTTGTAGAATCACTGTCTCAGTCATCTTCCGTTCTGTGTGAAAGTCGTGTTTCCCACAGTTTTGCACTTTCTTGATTGAGTGTCTCAGCATAGGTACTACTGTTTTGCCATTAGTACTATTTTTTTGTAATATAATTTGCATTTTCACAGTACAAAAGTCAGAATATACAGAAAAAGAAAAAAATATATAACCACTCACAGCAGCAAATAATAAATTCTAAAGTGTTCATATAGGACCATGAAAAAAAATCTACTTTCCAACTCAGTCTGATTTACAATTTTAGTATGATGGCTACACATCATGTCCACTGTTGGCTACAACCGTGTGATTCTTGCCGAGTTTGACTAAAGCGGAGCCACTAGAAACCTTCCCTTTGATCAAAGCAAGAGCGCCTTTCCATGTCATGAAAGCTGACTGGTCCTTTCCTGTATTGGAATATGATGCTAAGGTAAGTGTGCTGCCTGGTTCCTCGATGAGAGAAAGTTTATAGCACATCTCCACCCTTGCAGGATGTAGCCTCTTTTCTTCATTGTTAGCAGTGACCAAGTTCTGTCTTCACCATGCTCTAGGCCCTCTTTTGCTGCTGGATAAATAATAATAGTAAATCACTTTCACATATCAAGTACTCTATCATCTGCTACCTTGCTTTTTTTTTTTTTTTTTGAGATAGAGTCTTGCTTTGTTGCCCAGGTTGGAGTGCAGTGGCACGATCTTGGCTCACTGCCACCTCCACTTCGGGAGTTCATGCAATTTTTCCTGACTCAGCCTCCTGAGTAGCTGGGATTACAGGTGCCTGCCACCACGCCTGGCTAATTTTTGTATTTTTAGTAGAGACGGGTTTCACCATGTTGGCCAGGCTGGTCTCAAACTCCTGATCTCAAGTGATCCACCCACCTCGGCCTCCCAAAGTGTTGGGATTATAGGTGTGAGCCACCACGCCCGATCCCTTACCTTTGTTTTTATTATGTTATAGGAAAAACCAAACAGTAAGAGCACAGACTTTGGAGTTAGACCTGTATTTGAGTCATACTTCTGTCATTAGCATGGCAGAAGTCATCAGCAGTGTCATGCTGTTAGCAGGACATACATAGCTGTGTGTCCCAGGAAAGTTCTGTTAATTTAATTTAAACACTCTCTGTGTTAAATTTCTCATCTAAAATAAGTAACATTGCCTACCTCACAAGATGGAGTTAATGAGATAACACATAAGAGCAGGTACATAGTAGGGGATTCAATAAGTAAACAGAGTAATAAAAATTCCTCTTCTTTGTTTTTTTTTTTTTTTTTTTTTTTTAAGGCAAGGTCTTGCCCGGTCACCCAGGCTGGAGTGCAGTGGTGCGATCGCAGCTCACTACAACCTCTACCTCCCAAGTAGCTGGGATTACAGGAATGCGCCACCATGCCCAGCTAATTTTTGTATTTTTAGTAGAGAAGGTTTTGCCATGGTAGTAAGGCAGGTCTCAAACTCCTGGCCTCAAATGATCCACCTGCCTCAGCCTCCCAAAGTGCTGGGATTATAGGTGTGAGCCACTGCACCCAGCCCTCTTCATTCTAAAGCTGATGACCTCATTTTACTTTTCCAAACTCATATGAGAGAGAAATCAAGGTGTCTACACCTGTGGTCTGGAGCAAGAGTGATCTTCCTCCGTTACTGCCCTGGGGCTTTGGTAATTTCCGGAGGCGTTTTGGTTATTACAACTGGAGCGCTACTAGTCAGCAGAGGCCAGGGATACTGCTAAACATCCTATAATGCCAGGTCAGCCCCCAACAGCAGAGAATTATCAGTACCAAAATGTCAATAGAGCGGAGATTGTGAAATGCTGACCTACAGTTAATTATGAGCTAATGGAAAGCAGAAAGAGTAGCAGCTTGCATGTAGTAGGGCTTTGGAGCACATTTGCCAAATTGAGTCAGCATGTCAGGCTCACACAGCAAGTCAGTGTCAAAGCTAGGACTGAAAGTAGGTTGTCCCCTACTAGTCATGGGGATCTTTCAACTCACTAGACAATCTTGCTTCATGTGCTGATAAATGTGCTCTGTGTGCAGCCGCGGCTTCCCTTTCCAGCATCCTCTGACTGAAGTGCCCCATCTCTCTTGCTGCAAGTACATTTTTTTGTGTTATTTCTTACAGGGGTTACTGGGGAGGACCAGCAATTCTGCGCAAGTTGTTTCATCTGGGTATGAGTTGAGATGGCTCAGCACTTGCTCATTTGGATGGCTTCTAGGCCAAAACTGCAGTCACTGAATGACCAAGAGCAAGCGCAGAGGACTTGGAACCTATCCTTGTAAAGAAGTTTCTTGATGGATAATGGTGACTAAATGCCTCCTTTTCAGTATCTTTGAACAGCAACCATGTAGGCTGCTCATGGCCAGGCTTGATTCTTTGGGAATAATAAAACAAAATAATGCTTTTATTTTCTGAATAACAGTTTGTCACTGATTGTGTTCTATGAGAAAATTTTATCTTGGCTGGTAGGGATGAAAAGTTCCAGCACTTGGGAGAAAAACATGGTGGTGGTGAGCTAGCTTACGTGTTATCTACTGTGAGTATTCAGCTGACAGCTGGCCTGATTTCAAGGCCTATTTGGATTCACTGAAAAGGGTCATTCCAGGGACAATATTGTTTCAAACATAGTGTGCAGCCAGCTCTGAACACGTGCTGCTTAGAGAACTCCTGCAGCAGGAGCACGAAAGCAGATAAGAACCAGCTGCCACCTCTGGTTCCACCACCTGTTTGTGCTGAGGCCATACTTTCTTCCAGCCAGTGACTGAACATGGTGGGGCACCAGTGTTGGACCATTCTTTGGAATGTGGGACTTCTCCACTGGACAACTTTAGCTCCAGGACCCCCCACCAACCTGGCTGGAAACTGGCAGAACTGCTGCGTCTGAGGTTCTTCTATCAGTCCTCCTTCGCCCCCTCTGTTTTCATGAGTGTCCATCTTGCACTGTGGTGTGAAGGCCCGCCTTGCCTTCTCCTGTTCCTTCTCCTTTATCCTTCCTAGCCATTTCCCCCACTAAGTCTCCTGCAAATCTACTTCTCTCCAGGCACCTGTTTCTCAGGGAACCTATACACAGTGAGACTGAGGTTAGAAGATCTGATGTGTATAGCAAGCATTTGCTAAGATTCAGTCCCAATTTGCCAAGGATTTGAATGAGTTTGTCGAGAGATATTGCAGGGAAATAGTTCAGTTTATTTGAAGTTCAGCAGTGGCTTAAAAATAATTTGTTTTCTATTAGTTTATTGTAGAAGTTCATAGTTTCAGTTCAATCTGGCGTTTTACAGCTGTGTGCATTTCATATTTATAAACTCCCCCAAAGGGAAAGGCACTTGATCTATGCAATGCCAGCAGATTTTATTTTTTATTTTTATTTTTTTTGAGACAGAGTCTCGCCCTGTCACCCAGGCTGGAATGCAGTGGCACGATCTTGGCTCATTGAAAGCTCTTTAGCCAGGTTCATGCCATTCCTCTTGCCTCAGTCTCCGAAGTGGCTAGGACTACAGGTGCCGCCACCACGCCCGGCTGATTTTTGTATTTTTAGTAGAGACGGGGTTTCACCATGTTAGCCAGGATGATCTCGATCACCTGACCTTGTGTGCTCTGCTGCCTCAGCCTCCCAAAGTGCTGGGATTACAGGCGTGAGCCACTGCGCCCCACCACAGTACCTTAAATTTTTATAAGTTTAGAGTTCAAACCCTTTTATGTGTTACTAGACTGCCAAGTCAGTTTCCTAAAGTTCTCTCGATGATGTTAGAGACTTTGGGCATTCACTCACTCATTCAACAAACATTTATTGAGCATATGCTACCTGCTAGTACTACAAGTACTATTCTTGGCCCAGGGCATCCTGTGTTGAACCAGACAAATGAGGCCTGTCATTTTTGTGAGGTACCTGTGATAGTTTCCTTTCTTTTCTTGGGATGCCAGGGAGCTTGTTGAGTGAGGTCTGGCTTGATTAGAAGTAGACTTTCTTCAGGGGCATACATTCTGGGGCAGGGCAGGGAACTAACTGCTCTGTGGCAGGCCCCTAACCTGGTGACAGGGCTGGAAGAGATGTTCTCTAGGGTGTCCACACATCCCTGGTTGCCTGGGATAGTCTGTTTAACACCTATTGTCTGGCATAGCTAAGTAGTGTCCCCTTTAGGCTCTCCAAGATGTCGCAATTTAGACAATAGATTCCCGAGCACTCTGAGATCACCCCACGACCCCCAGTCCCAGAATGGGAGAGTAGTGCTATGAATAGTGCTAAGACAGGACTTGTCACCTCATTGGCCTTCCCATGGTGCTCATGAGACAAGCAGGAGTAGGATTAGTCTGCCTTGTTCTCTGATTCTGGCAAAAGAAAACTCCATCCCTTTATGAGTTCCTGCCCAAGATTGCCTGGCTTCGGTGGAGCTGCTTTCATGTATCTCCAGGCCTGGAAGTCAGGAGGGCTGAGGGCTGTTCACCTCTAGTAGTTTCTCCCTGCAGGGTCTAGGAAGGCTTGGGGATAAAATCAGTTAGGACTCTCTCCTTGGATGTAGACAAGTGCTGGCAAAGCAGGTTTCTGCATTTTCAGAGAATGGGGCTGTGATTCCTGGGAATGGATGAGACTCCAGGTGGAGTAACTTTGAAATCCCTTGCGGAGTTACCTCGAGCCTCCTGGATCTGTTTTAGATGATGCATTCTGAATGAAACCTTCAAGCATCAGGGAATTGATTCCGGGTTCACATTATGCTGGGTAGGATGTATTGCCAAGGCTGGAGACAGCAGTGACCATGACTGGACAGTTTTCCTTCCCCTGGCTGGGAAAGACAAAACGTGCTGAATTCTAGAAAAGCTGGGCAACTGAAACCTTATCCACAAATGTGGGAGTGGAGAGGCAGCAGGAAGAGGAGGGTAAGACCAGGAGTAGGGATAATGGTAGTGATTTCTCCAAGGTGTTACCTTGGGGTGGGGAGGAGGTTAGTAGGTCCCACCCTGCAGAAGGTTCCAAACTCAGGCCTTCAGAGTCCACCAACTGACATGGTGCTGAGACTGCCAACTTGGGAATCTCTTGAAACCCTCCACCCCTTTCCTCTAGAGCTTCTTCCTTCTCAATTCCTGCTTTGGTGTCAGCCCTGGGTGAGCTGTGGGTGTAATAACAGAGCTGAGGTTGTAGTTGAGACCACTGGGTACAGGAAGGTAGAGCTAGGCTTAGTTGACTTAGGGATCATAGCATTTTGAGATTTAATATAATTTTTGGTATTAATTTTTTTTTTTTTTTTGGGGAAAGTCTTGCTCTGTCATCCAAGCTGGAATGCAGTGGCTCGATCTTGGCTCACTAGAACTTC